TATGTTCATGTGTCTTCATTTGACAGTCTAGTTAGACTTTGCTGAACAGGCAGCTTTAACATCAGACCCTGAAGTCCAATTTTCATGGTTCTGAATGGAACACTGTTCACAGTTTTGTGGACACGTCCAAAGGCTTTCATTTTCTGGGCAGGGTTATTTACTCAGGTGACTGATTCTGCTTGATGTCATCCACAGCTCAGGGAGGAGCCGCTCCCTCCGTTCTGAGGTCAAAGCCAACAATTTCCTTCCTGGATTCTGTTGGTGAGACCCTGTCCTAGCTTACTCCTTGCCAGTGCCCACAGCCCACAGCACAGGCTGGCTGTGTGAGAATTCCTCCAGTCTGACCAGGGTATTTCCTTCATGTTTACAGCACAGGGAATTTGAGAGCATCTGCAGATGAAGATAAATAAATCTATTTGCAAACAATCTCTAAAATTAATCTTTGATCAGACTGGTGAGATGGTACAACAGACAAAGGTACTTGCTTAGCAATCTGTACTCAGTTTCCAGCCCCCACATAGTTGAAGGTGAGAATCAACTCCAGCAAGTTGCCTGCTCAGCTCCACACTCTGCTGTGGCACAGTAACTCTGAATAAAACATAAATAGACACAAGATTTTAAAATTAATCTTTTAAATTCAAATAGGGGAATGTAAGTATTTTGACTGTCTTTTTCTAAAAATCTTTCTCTTTGTGTCCTGTCAGGAATTATTTGTTCTCATTTCTCCCACTAAGAACCTAGTTAAAATTTAACAAAGTCATTTAAATTGTTATAATTTTGTTTTTATTACTAGACATTAGGTTAAAGTGACCAGAAATTGTTCACCATGGCATTGCCATAGCAACGAGATACAGAGCCACTCTTCAGGGTGCAGTTTTGGTTATGTCCCATGTGTGATGTTGTGATTTTACTGTTCTGAAGCAGCTATAATCCCCAAATACAGGGATGTGATTATCATGTAGCGTTTGTTCTAAAGTGAAGCAGAGGATGTGAGCAGCAAGTGGCAGGATGCGTTAGCAATGGTCCTCAGGGAACCCTGCTTGCCTGTGATGAAGTCTAATGGCGGAACACCCTCACCGGCAGAACCATTTCTTCCTCCCTTCATTGCACACTGCTTTCCTGAGCATTGTTTTAGAGTCCTAAACTCTCCTGTTCAAGTTCTAGAGAACCAAAAATAGAAGGCTCCATATTCCAGTTGGAGGACAGATGTGTCACTTGGTGGCACAAACACACAAAAATTGACTACAGTACTGTTGAAGTCTAGTGATGGTTCACTTTTACTGTCACTGTTAAGGTGAAGTCTTTTTTTTTTTTAAATTGGTTTTTAAAGAATAGTTTTTATTGAATAGATATGAAAGGAGTAGGCAAAGTTTTTTGTACTTGTGTGTTAATTTCCTGTTCAGTCATCTCACTGCTTCCAGGATTGTTGGGATGCAGCCCTGAAGTACAGGACAGAAAGGAACTCATGCCTGGGTAGTGGGTGCTCACCAATGTGCATGGTCGGTTCCTTTGGCAAGGCAAACTCTAGAGACAACAGGGTGTAAAGTGTGTGATGAGCAATGAAAGCAGGCATCTGAGCAGTGAATCTTGACCTCATATAGAGAGCAGATTGTAGAAAAAGAAAAACACTTTGTAAGCTCTAATTATGTACTTGTCCTTGAACCAGCTGACTAGAACTTTTTTTCCTCTTTCCAAAACAGAAAATTAAGAAAACTCAGAATATGAATGGGATAGTGTTGTCTAGTATTCTAGCTTGCTTTCTGTTACTGTGGTAAGCACCACGACTTGGGGGAAGAAAGGATTTGTTCAGTTTACACTTGCTGATTGCAGTGGATCCTCAAGGGAAGCCAGACCAGGGACACAAGGGAAGCAGAGGCAGGAACCATGGAAGAATGCTGTTGCTTACTGGCTTGCTCTCCATGGCTCCCTTAGCCTGCTTTCTTACACAACCCAGGACCGTCTGCCCAAGGGTAGTATTATTGCCACAGTGGATTGGGCTCTCTCACATCAATTATTAACAAGAAAATGTCCCGTAGACATGCTCTCGGGCCAGTCTGTTAGAGGGAGTTCCTCAGTTGAAGTTCTTTCTTCCCGGTGCTTAGTTTGTGTCGAGGTGACAAATCTAACCATCCTGCCTACAGAAATGTGTCTCTGAACTCTTTGATTTTACACAGTTATCAGTAAAAATTTATCACACTCTAAAATATTCACCAATTATATAGATTGCTAATGTGTGTGCATATTTATTTTTAGAAACAACATTTATTATAGTAACTCATAAATTATGTTTGCCTAATTTTGTTAATATATTTTTAAATATGTGAAATATAAATTTAATAAGAATTGTTATAAAAGATATCGGTAGGCAGTGGCAAAGGTATCTATGTACAAATACATACATATTTTTTTAATGACCGAATAGATGAATCTAAATGAAATGAACTCTTGTTCATCTCAGCCAGAACCGTGAATGCAGCAGAGGAGTGTCTTTCTGATTCACCCCTTTGCAGGATGATGAGAATGATTTTATGAATTTCTTCTTTAACAGCACCGACCCTGACTTCTACATTCATAGAAAACAAATGTCACTTTTGGACAACAGGTAAAATGATCCATAGAGAGCCATGTCCTGATTGAGGAACTCCTACAGAGGCCTTGGGATGCAAACTGAAAAGGCTGCAGCGTAAAGGTCCACGTGGTTGCTACACAGGGAGAGGAAAGGAAAAATACTACTTCTGTCTGTTAGAGACACTTCAGTTCCTCTAGATGTCAGCATCACACAGGGAAATGAAACTATAAATAGCCTGTGGCAATGAATGGAGCCTTGCATTATTTAAAGGGTAAAACACATGTGATGCATAATTACAAAAAGGAAAAGCATCCCTGCTTGGTGACTGGCTCCTGTGTCTTCAGCACTGACAGTTTCTGTGCTTGGCCAGGCCAGACTCTGCCTGAAGAGTGTGGACACCTCATGCTCATATTTGCTGCTGGATACTCGTGGCCTGACTAGCTCCACGGAGATAGCCAAATTCTTACTTTTACATATTTTGATGAGTTGAAATAAATGAACACACACCAGGTTTAATCATTATCAAGTTCACGTTTGCTCTTTCTGTAGTATCTATGCCACACAGGATAAATCACAAAGCATGGTGCCTACCACTATGCCAGACATTTTCATTTCAGAAGAGAAATTACCAAGAGACAGATATAAAATGCCATCAACACAATTTGTTAGAGTGCCTTATTTGACTAACTTGAATATAGACTTTTCAGAACTAAAATGAAACCATTTCTTTCTGCCCTCTTCCATGTAAATTGTAATCTTTTAGCTAAGGAACACATACGTCTTCCTTGCTGTGTTAATGTTTTTATTTTATGCCCCCGCTCTTCTTATTCTATGGTGTCTATTCTGCAGTAGATCCACGTCAGCTGTAACTATCCAGGTTGGCTAAAATCCTTTTCTATACCAGGAAAATAGTACAGAGTATGCTGCCACTTAGAGAACAGACCAAGTAGAGAGAAGAATTAGAATCCAGACTTGGTTATAAAATGAGCTTGATAGCCTCTCTCAAAGAGTTTCTGTGAATCATGAGTGAGTTAACCAAGTGCACTGAGGAATTTCTAGTAGACTTGTCTGTGCTCAATACATGTTAGCATCATTGTCATTCCCATTCTTATCACCATCATCATGACCACACTACCATCATCATCTTCACTGTTATCCCCATCATTGCAACACCATCACCACACCTCCATCATCACTATGCGATGTCTCTAGTTCGAGCACCATGGCCATCATAAACCCAGCACCTAGAAGGAAACAGACTGGCAAAAACAGTTCAGTGAAGTGTTACAAGGGACACTGGTATTGGCATAAGTGCCAAGTTCCGTGCCCACATACAGAAGCAGCTACTGACTTCACCTAAGGAAATTGAAGGACATTTTTCACTGACATCTCTGTACTTGACATAAAAGGGAGAGGCTTTCTATGGCTTTGATCTTCAACCTTGGCTTTCTATAGATGTTCTAACTGTGCCTTTGTGTGGTGAGGCGCCCATCTGGAAAAAAGGAAGCATTCCGAGTTATAAGCATATTTGCAATTTGTCTTTGTCCCTACAGTTGGCACTTACATGATCTCTCATATTTGCAGGGCAAATTGTGTTCTGCTCCAAAGAGTGGAGGGACTGATTTTCTGTGGCTTCATGGGATTTTATCAATTTACAATGTATAATTTAAAATTTGTGTGGATTAGGCTATTCTTTACCTTTCACACAGTGTATGGAAGGGTTTGTATGCTAATCTGGGAAGTATTGTGAGTACCGGTAACTGCTTGGGAGAAAGCTATCTTCTAGGGAAAGGAAGAGCCAGCTGTTAAGAAGCTCATTGCCTGGAGTGTGGGAGGACAGGAGGGACAGGGAACAGGGATTGGTATATAAAATAAGATTGTTTTTAATTTAAATAAAAATTTATTTTAAAAAAAGAAGCTCACTGACTTCATCTCCTGCAGGTAGTTTAGAAGTCATTCACATGTTCTCTGATTTTTCTTCAAATGATAAGTGAACCAAATCAAAACAACTAAAATGGAATTATATAATATAGTAGTTTCAACTTGGAACAATTTTTCCCTTAATCCTGAGGACATTTAGTAATCTTGGGAGATATTTTGCTTTATTAACATTATTTTTTAAGAAAATTAGCAACATTTCAAATAGACAAGAATAAGGTTGAGATTTTTTTTTTGCACTACAGGGTAAATATAGTCAGTAATAATGTATTATAAACAGTAAAACTAATTAATGTCTGGGGTCATTTTTGGTCACCACGGCTGGAAGGCAGAGTTCTGCTGGCACTGGTGAGGAGAGGCCAGGTATAATTCTAAATGTCCTATGGTGTTGTGATGCTCTGTACACAAAGAATTGCACAGCCCATGTCAGTAGCACTAAGGCTAAAGTGTGTATACAGTAGGTAACCTTGATTGCTTGATTGTACACCAACAGGCTGAGGAAAACGTGTGGTCCAACCCTGCACTGAATGAAAGGACAATTGTCACAGGTGGCAAGACATCAGCCTTCACAGGTAACATCCTTAGGAGACTTAATGGTTATGGAGATAGTTCTGCTATTACTCTTACTTGGTAGAAATCATATATTCCTACCTCCTATGGGGACGAGTGGTGTTTCTTTAAATATTTTTATCTGATTGGCTTTGGACTTAGAGTGACAAATAAGAAAATCTCTTGACACACAGTTTTCAGTCAGTTGGGCATATTTCATTCTGCTTTGCTTTTGAAAGCTTAAATCTGCTGTTAAAAAGAAGGTAGACTAGAGATGCCATTAAATGAAGCCAAAATTAAAGTGATCACGTGTATTCTTCATTAAAATGTTTTGTGTTCTGTGGCTTCTAGAGAGACCTGACCAGAAAGACCAGTTCTCCTCCGAGAAAGAAAAGGTTACCCAACTCAACAGGAAAAATGCGGAGAAGACCAGCACCTCTGAACTTCAGAGGAGTTGTGCCGTTGGTCATAAAGAAAGACAAGACAAGGCAGATTTTGTTCTGAGGAATTCCACGGAGCTAAGAGAGAATGCGGGTGGAAAAGATGGTCCATGCATAGGAAGTCTGGAGAGACAAGAAAGCAACATCCTGGGAGATAAACAGTACACTGTTCACAAAGGAGGGAAAAGTGGGTTTCCTTCTAAGGAAGATATCAGAGGAATAAAAGCTGAGCACAGAGTTTCAACAGCTGCAAGTGAAACAGTGCTGGACAAACATCCAACTGCAAATCAGCACATTGATGAAATGAACGGTGGCCCAACCCATGAAAGGTAGTGTTACGGTATTGCACATCCACAGCTGGTGTCTTTTATGGGCCTTTGTTCTATGGCATTTGAGGCCATTTTGAAAGAAAAATGAAGATGTTTTTAAAGGCAATGTTTAGAATGCACTCCTATCTTATATTGATACTTCATGGATACATTTTCCTATTATTCTATTCTTCTTCTTTCTTCTTGCCAATATTTTCAGTTATTTCCTTCCCCCTTCCTCCCCCACCTCTCTCCTTCTGTCCCTCCCTCCCCCTCTCAGTCCTTCCTCCCTCCCTTCCTTGCTTCCCTCCACTGGGGCTGGAGCTCAGGGCCTTGTTTCAGCTAAGCCTGTAATTCCTCCCTGACCCCCATTTGATTGTTTCTAAGTCTTACACCAACACTGAAATCACAAATTTGGGTATCTCCAGTAATCAATACTCTTTAAAAAAAACAAGTAAAAAGTTTTGTTGTTTAGCAATAAAAATCATATCCTCCCTAAGGCCAAGAATTAAATAATGATTATGTTGAGTTGTAAATTAAAAACCCAAATCTGAAGGAGTTGACCTAATCTATTATACGTTGGTTGTTCCTTGTATGAAGTAGACAATCAACCAAGTTTCTTCCTTAAAAGTAAAATTAAGAAGTGTCATGTACAAATTTAGGAATCTTTGTATCCAATTAAAGTTAGCTGCTTTAAGTATGGTGAGTATTTGTTTGCAGCAAAGGGGATCCAAATACCTCTGATGTCTTTTGGGGGTCTTTAAGACATAGCTGTTTCTTAGCTTTAATATAATATATTTAAAATTAATCTTGAAGAAATCTAATTTCTACATATTAAACACTGGTTATTATTGAGGTCCATCATGGCAAGATGTGCTTAGGAAAACCAGCAACTGCCAAAACATGCCAATTAAGCCAATTCTTCCATCAATAATAGTTCTTCTGTGGCTGTCAATCTTTAGAGAGATCACTGCTATAATTTCTATAATTTCTCTCTTCTATTTAGTTAGATTTCATAAACTACCACTTTTGTACTCAGAGTGAGGTCCTTGGAAGACTCTCTGTATCTTGTAACCTACTTGGATTTGATGACCTCAACTGCTGGACTAGTCACCTCTGTGTCACAGATACATCACCTGCACAAACACCATCCTAAGAAAGTTTCAGTTATAAGAGTTTTGACAGTATGAACATTTTGTCCTTGAAACATTGAGAGCTGCAAATGTATTTTATTTTCCAGGTGCATCAGTAATATAAAGGCCATTTCTACACCAGGAATCCTGGGAAATTCAGCATCAGGATCCACCTTCCAGAATGCCGAACAGACAGAGTCTGCTGGCAGCAGTAAGCGCAGAGTGGCAGAGGAGTGCTTCCTAAGTGAGGACAACAAAAAGAGCAGGATAGATGAAGTGAGTACGGGGGAAGAGCCCACAGCTAGCACAGAGGAAACCAGACAAGCCAGGTGCCTGGATGACAGACCCCAGGATGGAATGACAACCTCTAGAGAGAAAGACACAGCAGTTCTACTAGGTAGGAAATGCTTTTTGTTCTGGACTTTTAAAGCTTCCTAACTATCCCCAGCAAGCATTCCAATAGAATTTCTCTTATCTTAATAGCTTTAAGAAAACATATGCCATATTAATGCTATTAGTATATTTAACTTGAACACTCTTTGTGGGGTCAAAAGAAACAGTCCTATCTATCTATCATCTATCTATCTATCTATCTATCTATCTATCTATCTATCTATCTATCTATCTTAGGTGTATGTGAATATGTATGTAGAATATATGTGATGCTATAAACATGTGTGCTCAGGGTATGCACCTGTACATGTATGGAGCCCAGAGGAGGACACCAAGTGTCCTGCTCTATCATTTCCCACTATATTCCTTTGACACTGGAGCTTGGCTGGATCCATCAATAATGGGCACAACACTAGACTTTTGACATGGATCCTAGGGACCCTAACTCATGTCTTTAGGCTTGCACACAGAGCACTTTTACTCACAGAGAATCTTCCCAGCCTGAACAAAATCTGAAGCAGTAAATACTTCCTGAATAATTCTCTCCTGGATTTATTTCAAAGTATATTTATGGCATGAGAGGTGAATGTTAGACATCAAATTAGATACCATGAGATTTGTGCTATCTAAATATAAAAATGTTAAACTAATTAAACAAAATCAATATTACTATTTGGTAGTATATCTACAACAAGCTAAGTGACCACATGAAATATATATTGGATAAATGCCAGGTTTAAAGGACATAGCTGTTTTGGAGCCAGGCAGTGGTGGTGACCTTTAATCCCAGCACTCAGGAGGCAGAGGCAGGCAGATCTCTGAGCCAGTTTGGTCTACAGAGTGAGTTCCAGAACAGTCAAGATTGCGCAGAGAAACTGTCTCAGAAAACCAGTAAGTGAATAAATAAATAAATAAAATAAAGAACATAGCTTTTAAAAAACTCTCCTTTCTTTGTACCTTTGCTGTGTGTGTGCTGTAGCTGTTTTAATAAGGAAATGGGGATGAGCAAATGTGTGGACAGCAACTGTGGGAAAATATGAAGACCATTAGGAGAAGTATTATTGAGCAGCTATGCCTGGTAGCATTCATGCTGATACAGACCATCACTTAAGCATATGGGGTGGAAGGTGGAGAGTGGGAGAAACTGGATTGTAGCATATAACTTACAGTTTTATTGGGTGTTTTATTTCCATTCAGCCAGGAAAAATTCATCTCTGTACTTGAAATGCCTCTGAAATAAAGGCTAAAACATTTTAGAAAGCAGGGTACAGTATCAAATATTGCAATGACACAAGGAAATAATTCAACTTTCTCCAGTTTTCCTCTTTGCTTTAATTAAAATGTGAATCATACAGGAGCATTTTCCAAAAAGATGAATCAATTAATTTCTCTTGGTCAAATGAAAAGTGGTTTCAGGCTTGAAAGCATGAAAAGAAAACTGTGGTGCTGGAGATCAAACTAAGTATCTCTTCCATGCTAGGAAAATGCCTTCCCACTGAACTTCAGTTCCAGCCCCGATGTGTCTGACTGTCCTGGGATTACAGATTTTCACCGTTTTGCATTTTGTTAAAAGTCACCCTAAAGAGTTTGTGGATAACATTGTTTCTCAAAGATACCCGATAAGATATTCATGAGTCACAGACTATTCATACATGAAAAGGAAATTTATATTCTAGGGTCATTAGGAATAAGACAGGTGGCTGATTGTATACCAGTTTAACGAGCTGACCTTTATTATGAGACATGCTGCTTGATGCTGGAAGAAGGTCAGCCTTTTCCTCCTCCCCTTACAGACGATGGCCCTGCTCCTGCAGCCCCATTCGATCACCGGATTGTACTGGCCAAACATGCTGCAGTGGACAGTTTGTACACCGTGAGCAAATCTGAGATCCTAGGAGGGTGAGTGAGGCCCAGTTTGAACAATGTCTCAGTAAAAGCAGAGAGTCTTCCTGAGGCGGAGCCCAAGGTGGCAGAGATGTTTGTTGCTCTTGACTGGAGAACTGCAAACACTATAAAACAAACATTTAAGAGTTTTTAACCATTTTTGAAAATTGTCACTTGTCCCAGATGGTTGACGTGGTAGCTATACTTCCCATTTAGCATCTGTTTTATTTACCTTGTCATAATGTCTGAGAGTGGGAAAAACCCAGTATGAGTCACAAGAAGAAGGTCCTGGAACTGTCCAAAGCCAGCTTTAGCCCTTCAGGGATGAAATGCAGGAATGTTCTGATCTATGTATTTCCAGTGGTGTGCATTTCACCTTTCTATCATTCTGCCTGGTTTTCCATTTAGCTGTTACAGCATGAGGTGCTATTTTCGTTTCAATTGATTGCTTTCCTCACTGAAGAGCTCATCTGAGTGTCATCTAAGTGCACACTTTCTCTTAAAGAAGAAAGATTAGAGTTCATCAGGGGTCAGGGTTACACTGGGGACCTTTTCCTTTCCTCATTCATCCACAGTCTCCTGTAACTCAAAGCCTGCCTAACAGGATTTACTACAGGGGGTAACAAATTGTAGCATATATACAATCAACCCATGGGGAATATACATGATACCTCAGAGTGGTTTCCTCAGGACATTAACAGGCAACCAGTTAATTTTGTAAAGCCATGTCCTCTCCTTACCATTCCACATTCCTTTGCCCTCTGCCATGTAGAAACACCTGAACTTTTTCTTCCTTGACAACTGATCTTGGAGAACTCTCTACAGGCCCGTGGGGGATGGGATGAGGGAGAAATGAGGATTCAGAAACCCAAGTACAAGACTGTAGTGATTGTGTCTTCTGGGACGTCAGTGGCAAACCAGCAACTACACCTCTGAAGGATAATCGTTATTTGCAGAAGAAACTTTGAAATAATTCCCAGGCTTTGTGCTGCTTTGTGGGCCAAGGTTTGTCAGTGGCTCCTTTAAAAGTTCTCATCAGCCTCTTTGGGTGCAGTTGACTTTGAGGTCTGCCATTGCTTGTTGTTGGCTCACCTCAGCATTGGTGGCCATACCGTGCTAAACAAAAAACAAATAGGTGAGAAGAGCATAATTAAGTGTGTATTGTTTCAAGATGTGACATGCCCACCAAGTACATGTTGCTGTAAGTGGTGAGGATTTCTTACACAGTGGCTTATCTTTTACTCGGAGGAGAAATTGAAACAGGCTAAATACCATGGAATTCTTGGCAGTTTTCCTGGGTTCATCTCCTGTTCTGTGTCATTTGGGTATTTATATATTTGTCTCATCATTACGTTAAAAATCTCTCCCAATGTGTATAAAAGCTCAGCTACTAGGTGGCATTATTGGGAGATGGTGGAGCCTTTAAAAAGATGGAACCTAGCTGAATGAGATCAGGTCACTAGGCATATGTCCTTGAGGGCAGTAGTGAAACCTCAGTGACTTCTCATCCTCTTCTACCCTTTGCTTCCCGGCTGCCAGGAAGTGAGCAGCTCTTCTGCCACCATGAAATGCTGTGAGGCTACACACCCAAAGCAACAGGGCCAGTTGCCTGTAGCTAGAACCCTCTGAAATCATGAGTCAAAACAAACCTTGGTTCACACAATGGAATTCTGATGAACACAATGCTTCATGCCTGTGTTCGGGCTAGCATGAGACTACCAGTATGATATTCCAGCATGGATGCTATGAGGTGACCTCAATATCAAGGTCCTTCCAGAATAAATCATGTGAGATGCCCAGCAAGGAGATATCACTGGAGTCAGACAGCGATAGGACATCACTGCTGACCAGACAGTTCTAAGATTAGTGCTAATGAGGGGTAAAGACATCTTCTTAATGACAGTTACATGAGAAGTACTTGGGACTATGTTCATATGTGTGCCAGCACAGAGGGCCTCTATAGTGAATGTTGGAATTGAAGTCACCAATATGTTTTTGGTAATGCAGAGTAATTCTCCAAGATCCACCTACTTCCGTGGAGTTTGGGCTGCTACTACTCCTGTACACGCCAAACACAGTCACTCTTATCTCTGCAGGCAACAGTAATGTGGTCTTTTTCTGGTTCGTTGTTATGGAACCTTCCATTTCACTCTCTTCCATGTTAGCCACCAATGCACAAAGTAGAGACATGTGCCTTGCCTTACTTTATTAAATAAACATTAAGGGAAGCAAATCAAGTTGCTCATATGTGTGCACTTCTGAATATGATTACATAATTGAGAAGCTATAGTATTCTGTTTTCTATTATAATGAAATACTGAGGTCTGAGCAATATATAATGGACACAGGTTTAGTTAGTCTATAGTCCTGGAGAGTCAGGAGCATGGTACCAGCATCCACTTTGCTGTGGTGAAAGGTCCTTTTGCTGCATCACATCATAGTGCACATCATGGAGAGTGAGAGAAAGAGCTAGAAAGGAGGAGAGAGAAGAAGGGAAGAGACAGAGACACTAAAGGTGATAAGGTTTGCTTTATAACTACTCTTTCTTGAGAACTAACTAGAGCCCAATAAGAACTTTAACAATTCATTCTGAAGACCTCTAATGACACCGTTACTTACAACTAGGATCCAACTCTTTAAGGCTCTACGCAACTACCAACACCACCTCTGTTCTGATGACTCAGTTCTGATGACCACTTGAACCTAAGGGGATACATGTAAGCCATATCCATAGAAGCAGCTCTCCTGTAAAGCATTAAACTGACATCTGAGCTAACCTAAGAGTCTTCCTTGGGTCTCTTTGGCTACAATATGTACTTTTGATTTTATGTATCTATGTGCAATACTGTTATTATTTTATTTAAATGCAGTTTCTAGAATGATTTTTGATATCCCTGATCCACAGGTTTATTGATCATATGCTTACAAATTCCAATTTTCTACATTCATATGTATTCAGAAAGACTCTATGTTATCTACAGTAGTGGGTTTTTAAGTTTTTGTATCAAATCAGCTGAAAGTGCAGATTCTGGGGCCTCATCTTCCTATGTGCACAGGACAGATGCAGGGTCAAGGAGACTCTATTCTTTTTTCCCCCAGAAGTTATTTTTAATGTCTATGCTAAATAAATAACATTTCAACACAGGATAAGATTGTCAGATATTCATCTAAGTAAAATGTACAGAGATACATTAACAATTCAAATTCTAAAATCAACCATCTTCATAGGAAAAAAAGCCTTGATTAAAATTTTCAAGTTATTCCTCTTTTAAAAGTTAAATTTCATATTGGACAAAATAGATCAAATCTACCTTCCAAAATGAATTATGGCTTAAAATTAATCAATTACTTCAATGCCATGAGTTATGAATGCAACTTAGTCATCACTCTGCTTTAACCACCATCCTTAATTCAAAATTCAAGGGAAACCTGTGTACACCTACAGGAGATAGTGATCAGATTCCTCTGCCCCAAACAACACTAAATATTAGCATCCTGCTGAGGCAAATTAACTTCTAGGATTTAGGTCAAGACAGCAGACATGAATATAATTCAGGACATAAGATTTTTCAGGGCTTTCCCATTCCCTTTACATACCAGAGATTTGTAATGGACAATGTTTCTGACTTGGAGGAATAACAAAAGACAATCACAGCTTCCATGGGGCATATAGGAGACCCATAGAATTCACCTTGGGCAATGTCATTCCAGGTGCCGAGACATGCTTGCAATGCCTGGGAACTCATGTTGTCCACCTGGCAGGGACTGCTGCAGAGCCTTGTAGACTACCGTGCCTCACTAACTGTCTGTTCTTTGGCAGGGGGCGTTTTGGCCAGGTTCACAAGTGTGAAGAGAAAGCAACTGGCCTGAAGCTGGCTGCTAAAATCATTAAGATCAGAGGTGCAAAGGACAAGGTAAAGGCCACGGGAGGTGTCTCCTCTCCCTCTGGGCCAGCCTCCACCACACTAATGAACTCTTTCCTTCTCCTCAGGAGGACGTGAAGAACGAGATTAGTGTCATGAACCAGCTGGACCACGTGAACCTCATTCAGCTCTATGATGCCTTTGAGTCCAAGCATGATATCATTCTAGTCATGGAGTAGTAGGTGTCCTGTCCCTCCCATGCACCTTCACACACCTTCTGCACAACACCATGACTCAGCCAGAACCATGGGCAGTGCACCATTGGATCTGAGCTGCAGAAGACACGAGATCTTGTCAGAGTCAGAGGGGAAATTGCTTCTTAGTGCAATCTCCCAGTGTGACTCACTGATCAGATGCAGCAGGACAAAATAGATGGGGCCTGTATCTAAGCTCTGTTGTCCCAAACCAACTGTGCAACCTAGGGGAAAGTGGTTTGTGAGCTTTGTTTCCTTCAACAGTGATTTCCTTCACCTTTGGGCATATGTTCTGAACCTTTAATGGATGACTAAAATTGGGAACAGCGCTGAGCCTATCAGTGCTTAAATACCTATGGTAAAGATTAACTTATGAGTTAGCAGCTCATCATAAAATAAGTTGATTACAACAATATATCAAACAAAAATTATGTGAATGCAGTCTCTATCTTAGAATAGCCTGTGCTACACTGATCATAGGTGACCATGAGTAGCAAAATGAAGCTATGGATGGGGGGTGCTGGTTAAGTATTCCAGAACACAAAACACATCTAAAGCCCCTGATACCAGGCTAAGCAGTTTCATTTCAGAATCACTTATGTAAAGACTCAATAAGCTCAGGTGGCCTAGCATGTGATGCCCTGGTTTTCATCCAAGGTCTACAAAGTCCTACACCAGCACACCCACCACGAGTAGTTCTCAAGTAGTTCTACACCTAACATACATTGGAAGTGGGTTTGTTTTGTTTGCCATAGTACATTAGGCATTTGGAAAACTACTGTATCCGGCATCAGCCACATAGAAGCACTTTGCCATTAGACTTAGTCTCAAAAGGTGAAGACCTTGACTCATTGTCTGTTAATACTGGAATCCCACCTGAGTGTGTCCTTGAGTCCTCTTCATCCCCAATATCTGTTAAGTGACACACACAGACTCACCTAGAGTACATGCAGCCACTAATGACAGGGACTTAGAGACTTCGGTTGTATGACATTGAAGGTATATAATAAGGTACACTGAAGGTGTTCAACATAAGCATCGTGTATTCCATGCAGCAAAGAAGGCTAGGAAACAGCTGTTGCAAGAGCTAGAGGAGCTTGGGCAGCAACTTAGCACAAGAAACACATGTGGTGTTCATGGATTTTTCACCCCTTCCCTCTGCAGTGTGGAAGGTGGGGAGCTGTTTGATCGCATCATTGATGAAAACTGTAGTCTGACAGAGCTGGACACCATCCTGTTCATGAAGCAGATCTGTGAGGGGATAAGGTACATGCACCAGATGTATATCCTCCACTTGGATCTCAAGGTAGCGCATCCTTTTCACTCCATGAAATGTAGAGCGTCATTAGCCCTGGTCTGCATGTTCAGGGAAACATTATGTACCAGTCTTGGAAAGTTGTGTTGTCTCTGGTAATGTTCTCAGGAATTAATAATAATATGGAATTTTTTCCTTTTTTTTTTTTTGAGAGGTGTCTTGCCTCTTCACCTCCCCCAGCCATGAACTTCTGGGTTCAAGCTATCCTCTCAAATCCAGCCTCCTCATTTGGTGGGAGAGACTCATATCACACCGCCTAGCAAAATCAGGATTTTTATCTTATTCTCAACTCCTGTCACTACCTTCGGGGACTAATATTTGCATGCCCATCTTTAGAGCCTTTTGTTGAGATTATTATAAATGACCTCTATTAAATCAACACAGTTGGCCATTTCCTCACAAGTGTACAATTCAATCCAGCACCATCCCCACACTATTCCTGCCATCTCCTTGCTAGCAGGGGACATGGCAGGGGTCTTTTACTCTTCGATTCCCAAGTTGTAGCTACTGTTTCAGATTCTAAGAATCCCCAGTAGCCTCTTGAATTCTCCTAGGACATTCTGGTTTGGGATTTACTTTCTTATGGATTTGCTAAAACACCAAGTAGAAGCCCTAGAGAATGGAATTCAGGGCAGCTAGAGGGTGGGGCTGCAATGCCAAAGAGAAGGGAGGGTAGTTGTCACAAACCAGAAGCCCTGAGGGAAGCCAGTCCATTTCCTTCCTCCTCTTTCTCTCTCTTATTATGAAGTCTCCATCACTTTAGATACAACCAACAAAAGACTCAACCCTCGTAAGGCCGATCCAGCCTACGTTAGAGTTAGTATCATGAAGTGCATCTTCTTGTGTGGCTTGATCACTTTCTCATTTCCCTGTTTGCACAGCATGCCAGTGAGATAAATTGTGTATTCTATGTAACATACCATATATTGTAAGTCTCCAGGGAAGGTACAGCTGGATAAATCTAGCCTCCTTAAATAGGTTTCCATGGGCCTCTCTCTTCCCACAGCTTGGCTTCCCTCACTGTCTTGATTTATGTGCCTTGACTTTCCCATTTACCGTTGCATAGCGGGAGGAAGGGGGGGCATGGTACATAAAACGACAAAGTCAGAGGTTAAAAATCATTAGCAAAGTCCTTAGCTACAAACTCAATATGATAATGTGCATTTTTCAAGGAGCACTTTTGTTCACTGTGGATATTCTACAGATATTCCTAAAGGGATTTGATTGGCAACTGGAGCCAGGAGCTGACCTAGCATAAGTCAAATAGCTCCATCTGTGGCTTTGTAACATTGATTGAAGACTTGCAATGGGCAGTTTTAGTTATGGTTTATATATAAAGTTAATAATAAAGGTGACAGCTGGATGGGTCACGAAGGACCAGGTTTCTTCAGAGAGCTCCTTGGAAGAAAAAAGACTGAAGACATTGAGTTTGCATCCTTGCAGGGAGTCAAGAAGTGACTTAAAAGTATTCTTTGTAAATTTATTTTCTGAAAATCTTATCTGAGATGATAGACATTCTTAGTTTTAGTATCACAGAAATTATTTTTTTGAAGGGCCCTCAAAGATGTTTCTTTATATTCTGCAAAGGAATTTTGAGGATACCATGGTTTTCTTTGATAATGGAACAGCTTTTATTTGTTCAACCCATTGTTTAAATATGACTCCAGCTACTCTAGTATGGTACCCATCTCTGTATAAAATGGTTTTTACTCTCAGACATCTGTTTTAGAGACACTTTAGGAAAGGGCTTCCAAAGATATTATACACAAGCAAATGGACAATTAGATGTTGATATGGAGACACTACATCATTTCACAAAGTGTGTCTGGGTTTCTGCCTTGCTTGGAACTCCTTTCCACCAGACTGGATGTGGAAGGAGGTGTGGTCCATGTAAAGGATGGGTATAAAATCCCGGGTACCTGGCAACTTTGCTACGCCCCGCTCTTAGTGGAGTTGAAATTACAATTTAAGAGTTCTTGGCTCTTCTTTGAATATGCTATTTCTTTCTTTCTTTTTTTAATGGATGACCTTGGCTTTAAATGAAATTACTTATTTTTCCCAGACTTAAGGTTTTCTATCTCAATAAATATAGCTATATCGGCAGGACATTCCAGGGACACTAAGTAGTAGTGCTGTAGCTTGATTTCATCCCCTCCCCCAAGCCTGTCAGATTAGCAGGGCCAAGTTTTACTAGTGTCTAACTTCCAAGGGAACGCTTAGTCAAGGACTTTAAGCACTGAGACCGAGCTCAGCAAAACCTTGGAATTTTGGAGATGAAGAATGAGTAGGAGACAAAACCCTTCCTTTAGCATGCGACTCTCCCATAGACAAAGCACAAGGGAAAAATCTGGAGGTCAAAAATGTTGGCATTATATTGCGGATTCAGTGTGGCTGTTTAAGTGAATCAGGCCTTTTCTCTTGGAACTCGTAAATCTTGAGGGAAATATTCCTCCAAGAAGGAAATACACTTAATACTTTAACAGGAGGAGGGCTCTTTCAGTTCTGAACTGCGCTCCACCAGCCCGTTTGGAAAGTACTGGAACAGCCTCCTCTGTCTTTCTCTCCTCTAGAAGGCCCCTGCTTGAACTTGTCCATTATGGCAATCTGTAAAACCATGAAGAGGGACAGGCAGGGTAGTGCAAGGTTGGCAGGCTACCCACAACCTCATCCACCACATAATTAAAGGAGAAAATACCCACACAGACAAACCAGCTCCCTAGTGAAAGGCCTGATATGTTTTCCTGAGCATCTTGTATTTTTAGTTGTGGTTCGAGGACAATTTGAGTGAAAGATGGTTGTTTTCATTGCTAATGTGTCTCTTTCTCCTGGCAGCCTGAGAACATCCTGTGTGTGAATCGGGATGCTAAGCAAATAAAAATTATTGATTTTGGATTGGCCAGAAGGTATGTCTGTTCAGCTGTAAGTACAGGGATAGAAGTAGGAGATGAGATGCCAGTTCATTCTTTGCAAAGACTATCTGATATGCCCCAGATCTCATGCCTTCATTTAGAATTAACTTAATGAAAATTGCTTTTACCCTAACCCTGTTGGACTTTAGGTATGAACATTGAGAAGTTTCTATAATGCATGTTATAAAAAAGAAGTGAAAACTTAGTCCAGTGAAGTTTATTAACTTATAATGCATAAATCCAGAATTTGTGTTTATCATAATTTTTATATTTGTTCCATTTATAAAAAGAAGGTTTACTTTTAAAATGTTAGTAGTTTAAACAAGATGTAGAAGGTTCTGATTTCTTAGGGGAACAAATAATTTACTCGGGCATATTAACAGCTCAGCACATTAATGCCAGAAGTCAGATGCTGTGTGTTATTGCAGCATTGTGTCAGTTTGGAAGGATTTGTTCTGCCATGTGCACGCGAAGGACTGTGTCAGGGTATTAGTTACAATACCCTGTTTGGATGTGTCAGTTAGTCAGAGTGGCTGTCTTGTAACTGCTTCTGAATGAATATTAAGGTTTTATATTTTACTTTTGAACCTTTGGCATGTTAATCAGTTTTTAACACTAGCACAGATATGCAATTTCTGGTAAAAAGTTTATGTTTTGTTTACTGCATAACTGAAGTTAGTTTTGCCTTAGAGATGGTGCTGTTTTCAATGTTCATTAATTTTGATTTTTGATTGACACACCCAACCCTCCCACCTTGTTCCCTCAATTTCAGATACAAACCCAGAGAGAAGCTGAAAGTGAACTTTGGAACCCCAGAATTTCTTGCCCCTGAAGTTGTGAACTATGATTTTGTTTCCTTTCCTACGGATATGTGGAGTGTGGGCGTCATCACATACATGCTGTAAGCAGCTCTCCAGTCTCTCACACACCCATCCTTAACTCGGGAATATTCTAGGAGGCTTCAGATCTTCTAGAATAACACAGTGCTGTCTCCTATTGCTAAGGTTTTGTTGAGTCTTATAAGTGAAAGGAGTCAATTCCTTTTTCCACTGTATCTGAAAGAAAAAAAAAAGAGATCTGCATGTCTTCTTCACAGGTCACTTTGAGTCCCAGGATATCACTAAGAGTCCTGAACATAGTTTTAAAAAAAATCCTAGGCATTGATCTCTTCGGATCAGTAGACACTGATCTGCTTGGATTGCACCTCAGCAGTGACATTCTGGGGTTTGCCTTCTGAGTATGTGACAGTAGCTTTTCTTACCAGCTGTAAAATATTGGAAAAGACATTTTATTTGATTGTTTGAGATTTATTCAAGTATAGCTACAACCTTCAGTACTGCAGTTGCTTACTTGGGAGTTGGAATATGAAACATAGGCATGGTCCTGACAGCAATGATGTAGTATCTAAACTGCAACTAAAAACTATCTGTAAAAGATTGAAGACTGTTGAAAAAATACTTACCATGAATTCTGTGTCTTGTAGACTCAGTGGCTTGTCCCCTTTTTTGGGTGATAATGATGCAGAGACTCTGACCAATATCCTGGCATGCAGGTGGGATTTAGAAGATGAAGAATTTCAGGACATCTCAGAGGAGGCCAAGGAGTTCATCTCTAAGCTCCTAATTAAGGAGAAGAGGTAGCCAAATTCATCTCGTGTTGTGGGAGGAGTAGATGATTAGGTGCAGTCTGCACCCTGGAGTTAGTAGACCATTCCCTCAGTGACATCCATAATGCTCGAATAGGCTCTGGATGCAATGATGTTTGAATCCTTGATCCTTGCTAGAACTGTTTCAGTCATGAGGCTGGATGGGACTGAAGCACTCGTCTCTTTTTGACTTTTGTAATGAAGTTCCCTCCAGCAGTCAAGCCCTTCTGGTCGACCTCAGGTGACCTGCCCTCAATCCTTTTCATGTCTATCAACGTTCATGGGCCAGACAGTGCAATCTGCTTTTTGGACATCATTTCTTTTAATCACAGCCCTTAAGTGCCAGAGGAAGAAGTTTCTGTTGTGACTACTTTATGATGAGACAGTATGTAGTTAGCCTATGATCACATTGCTAGGAAGGGGCAGAAGTGACACTAAATGTAAGTTGATCTTCCTCCAAGCTTACATTGTAGGCTGTCAGATAGCCTTACATTTTTCTCGCATGCTAAAAACACATTAATTTAAATGTTAGTGGATGAACAAGTATGATATTAAAATATAGGGACTTGATTTTAAATTCATAGAGTGAGAAGGACGCTGTGAGTAGCCACTTTAGATGACTTTATATTTGAACTATATGACAGTAAGTCACATTTAAGATCTTCAGAGCCAATAACAGCTGCTTTATTGTCCTTATAGCATTTGGGCCCACTGATAAACATAATTGTGAAGGAATAGGAAAGAGAAAGTTATGGACAGTAGGAGAAAAAACCTAGGTAACTGGTAATGGTGGGGGATTCTTTTACAGTTAACTGGCTGACTATCACTAGGAAATAAGTCAAGAATGGTCTGAAACTCAGCTTTTACACTAGGCTGGCCTTGAACTCATAGAGATCTGCCTGCATCTATCTCCCAGGTGCCTCCTGAGATTAAAGGCATGCACCATCATGTCTGGCAAGATAGTTCTTTTTATAAAGAAATGATACAAACCAGTACATAAACCAATGGGGCCAGATCTGAGTCTCTAGAGCAATGGTTCTCAACCTTCCTAATGCTGTGACCCTTTAATACAGTTCCTCATGTTGTGATCCCCAACCATAAAATTATTTTCATTGCTACTTCATAACTGTAATGTTGCTACTGCTGTGAATCATAATGTAAATAATTTTGGAGATAGAGGTTTGCAGGAGTTGTGACACACAGGTTGAGAACCACTGCTCTAAAGTGTGAGGAGACTTAGCCGAATAATAACACCAGTCTGAGAAAAGGGGCAATTTAGAGAGTTAATTCATTTGTCCTTGACTTCTAGAGGCAATAACAGCCAAGCTTGTTATTGTTTTACATTTAAAGATCCTAGACAATACAGAGATGGAAAAATGCCAACTTTTTTCAACTTTGGAGGTTGAAAAACTGCATTTACTGTGAACTCTCTCTCTCTCTCTCTCTCTCTCTCTCTCTCTCTGTGTGTGTGTGTGTGTGTGTGTGTGTGTGTGTGTGTGTGTGGTGTAACTCCTGGAAACTGCTGTGATGTGTGGAGGTAATCACTGCAATTTCATGTAAGGAAAGTGATGCTGAGAGTCACCGAGTCAGAAGGCCAGTGCAGCGCAGACCCAGAAGCAGGTTTTCTGGACTCAGGCATCTTTAGTTCTGCCTACTCCCACAGTCTGGGGGCTCTTTAGTATCCAAGAAGTATCAGATCACATTTTGACAGATGAGCACCTAACTGAGTCTTCAAATCAACACTTGGATGAAGCTCAGGCCAAATATCACTGTCATCAAATAAGTATCTGGGGTCCAAAACTGAACCTGAAATATTATTAAAAGTCAGTTATGAGTACGGTCTTAGTGACTTAATAGATTTGAAACATTTTTCATTAGAGTTTAGGAATAATTATCTTTCAGCACCATCCCTGTGGAGTGGTCAAGGGACCCAACAGCAAAACCTTAGGGTACTAAGAGATGAGATTGGTGGAGCTGAGTTTTTAGTAACTTCTGTGAGGTCAGGGTCCTATAATGGTGATTTTTTTTTCCTCAACAACTTCATTGCAAGTAAAGACTGACATTTTGATATTTGACATCCAATAAAGCAATTGTATTGAGGTGATCCTCCACATTGAGGCTTCATGACTGCTAGAAAATATTTGATATTTTTCAGAAGTTGCACTCATAGTTTTAATTTGAATAGTTACTTTCATGCGATATTTTTCAGCACACCACGTAAGTTTATAAAGTTTAGAGTTAGGATGCAATATGGGCTTTATTAATCTTCATGTTATTTTTTGAAAATTTGTAACCTCCCTTTTCATCTCCATGAGAATATAGTTTCTTTTTATAAAGTAATCTAATATATTCTATTATGATTATGGTAACTCTTCCAGCTCTAAACTTGCCAAAACTCCTTCATTCAAAAGTTAGCAGACATATTGAAAAGACTTCCCATGCAAACAGCTTCTGTATTCATTGAGGGTTACTGTAGCATTTATCCTTATAATTAAGAGATGTGCATTTATTTCTTCATGGTCTAGTAAGAGTTCAATTTATGAAGTCCACATGTCATTTCACAGAATAATTACTTATGTTTGAAAAAAACATTCAATTATTATTAAGAATTTGATTATTGTCCTGATTGTATGACCAATGTTGTCACTGTGGTTAGAGCTATAATTCACATCTGGACATTTTCATTCCACACAAATCCAGAAGACAGGCTTCAGTGTGAGTTAGCCACTCCACCAAAACCTGTGAACAGAGCCAAAGAGAAATTGCTGATGTAGGCATGATTCGTGGGTTCCTCTAACAGGCTTCTGAATTTCCCTTTAGTTGGAGAATAAGTGCCAGCGAAGCTCTCAAGCACCCGTGGCTGTCAGACCACAAGCTCCACGCCAGACTGAGAGCACAGGTGACCATGCTTCCTGCTTCCTCTCCGTTTTCCACTTGCCTATCTCATCAGATTCTATAGATAACTCAGCCTGAGTTGAGACGCTGTGAGATTTCTCATAATGTCTTTGCTCACAGCAAATCTTGTGCTAGAAATAAATTGCTATTTGAGACATTAATGTTATATTTTATATATGCTTCACAGATTGCTTTTAGCATTATGAAATCATTGTATCTGTTGTAAAATGTATTGCACCACAAACTCACACACACACATATACAGATATATAGCCCAGGATATATAAAAACAGTTTGGAGAAGATATGTTAATATACATTTAGGAGAATTCTCTCTCTAACACAAAATTCACAATTCTAAAATCCATGTCTATCTTGTATACTTTATTCTCCTCTGGGTACCAGATCTTTGAATGCTCAGCTTGGTATGAGCATGTTTTAGCATATGTGAAAGAGATTTATATTGGAGACTAAAGTATTTATTGATGATAATGGAGTCCCCACTATTGTAATCTCTTAGGGTGAAATATCTCTCTGTTCCCATCACCTTAGTGTTTGCATTCCAACTCCCTCATCTTTTTTGGGGGCGTGGGTGGGTACAGATTTCATACATCCTAGATGTATCCACTTGGGTCTTCTCAGCCCTACATCAAACTCATTACCATCTTACCTCACTTTCAACCATCCTTCCAGCAAAGAATGCCCATTATATGGTACCAATCAGTCCATGAGCATCTCTTGTTTCCTTCCTGTCTCTGTCCCCCATTGCATATTTCATTAATATCCAAGTTCTGCACCTTGTATGTTCTAATTGCTTTAGGAATATCTCCAGCTCTCTTCAGTCCATGTTGCCCTTGCCTGGGACACCTGCTTCTAGAATTGCTACAGTAGCCTCCTAACTGCCTTCTCTGCCATATATGCTTTTTCCTTCCAAATAACCATGTTTTTTTTTTTTTTGAGATAACACAAAGGCAGATGTACCACATTAAGTAGCTTTACTCAACACTTAGGCTTAACTGGGATAGATGAACATGGAGACAGCAAGCAACCCCACCTTCCAGCCTCTACCTTATAAGGATGTCTCTGCTGTGTGCATTGGTTGAGTGGCCGGTGGCAGGCCTGGGACAGCACACACTCTCCACATTTCCATTTACTCCTGCTCTTCTCTTCATTGTCCACACTCCCTGGGGTTTGGAAAGGAACTTCTCTCCAACCAGCAAACCTTGGAATAACTACTTTAGGTTCTCACTTTTTCCACATCCAGTTTTTATTGAAATTAAATCTACATCTAAATTCAGCATCAGTACTGCGTTTTATTTGTGTCTGAATATACCTTTCCTTGATAATTGGTACTGATGCCAAATAAAAATAGACTTATTACCTAGCCAGTACTTCACCCAGACTGCATAAACTGCTTATTAGGGTGACCAACCTATTTTGAGCTCATTTTCCACCAATGTATTTTTAACCAGGAGTCTAAATACACTTTGACATGTCAGGACAATATAGAAACCACAGCCAGGAATTAATGACATTATACAGACTAAAAGCATTCAAAAGTATTTTTAATCATGTGACCACAACTACAAAAATCACCTTTTTGTTTTCCCACCCAACTGGTGACACTGAAGCAAACTGATATCACAGGAAAATAATTTTTAAAATTTCTGTGCATAAGTCTAGTTATTATTAAAGTTATACTTGCTGATGGGACATGTCCAGAACTTTACATTCAAATCACACCAAAGTGCACAGCAAATTAAATAAAAATATTAATACCTTAAAAAAATAAAGCTATGCTTGCATGGAGCTGGCTGTAACTGCTTTACAAAGATCAACACATGTAACCCTCACGCTGACCTCGTAAACCTGGAATTATTACAATTGCCATTATGTAGATGAGACCACCGAAGTGGAGGCAGGGGAGTGCTCGTGTATGGGCAGAGCTTTCTCATACTCCTGATGGATGGAAGGGGCTGGGAGCTTGTTTCCAGGCCCACTCTGGTGCTGTATATGTTTACATATGTTTGCTGTACCTGGGTGCCCAAATCCTGCCAGTGTATGGTACTTTTCAGTAAAATACAGGCTGAGCATCCCTTATCTATAGTGCTTGGGACAAGAAGTATTACAAATGTTGGATCTCTTTAGATTTTGGAATATTTTCATATATGAAATGATATATTGTATAATGAAAATCTATTCATCTATCTACATATATTTTCACATACATATGTATGTGTATATCTTAAGAATGGGACCCCATCTGGGCATGGAATTCCCTTGTTTTATGCACACTACACGCGTGCCGTCTTCAGGAAGTAGTGTGCAGTGTGTTCAGGGCACCTGCACTTTTATTATTAGCATACAAAGTCAGGAGTGGACTTTTCTACTTAATGGAGCTATGTTGTTGGAACTCAAAAAGTTTTAGATTTTGAAGCATTTTAAATTTCAGATTTTTGGATTAGGGGTACTAAACTTGTGTTGATACTAAATTTTTGCATATTTACCTTTGAAATAATCTAGTTCTTATATGTTGTCTAAAATAAGAATATACTTTGTATTAAAATGTCTATCTCTTAAATCTTCCCGTGCCCCTCAACACCCCTATCCACTACACTAGTCTTAACCAGAAGCAGCCATGCCCTTTAGTTGTCATAGCCCCAACACCATGAGTACTGGCTCTTCTGCTTTGCTAAAGTGGGCTTTGAGCAAACACACATTTGCAAATTAAATCCAGTGAGGGAGTGAGTGGGTTGACGCCGCTTCAGCGGAAGGAAGGGAACTGATGACTGGATGTGAGGAACAGAACAGGTGTGTCTATCAGAAGGTTGCTGACAATATTATCCTCTTGGATGTCTCTGGAAGATCACCATGAACCCAGAAGCAAATGATCAGTTCTTCACATGCTCTTCTATTGTAAATCAGAAACTGACAAAAGCTGTTCCAATCCCTCCTCCAATGTTTTGTTTCCCTAGAAGAACTGCAACTCTGGTGCTCAGAACCTCACAACCAAGTAACTCATGGAAGGAGTCTATTCAAAAGGTTGGTCTCAAGTTTCCCTACCTCCTCCCATGGGAACAAATACCATTACATTTGTTTGGGAATACCTGGGATTGCACCCCAGGAAAACCAGATTCCAATCATCATGAAAATGTACTCCTCTGTTCTTGGGAGCGTTTGCTGAGTGGTGTCTGTGTTGCTTACGTGAATGGGGTAGGAGGGAAACTGGGTATTGCTTGCACAGATACTGAGTGACGCAGACAGTGTTTGGGCTGGTGGGTAGGAAAGGCTCCAATCAGATTATTGTGTTTTCTTCTCTCCAGCTTTATCATGTCCTAGGAGAGGAAGTGCAGCTCCCTATTGTGTGGGTTGTAGGTAGTCCACTGTGCCAGCTTGCAGAGTGGCCCCACTGAGATAACACAGACAGAGACCTGAGAGTTCTTAGCTCAGTAGGCCCCAGGATTTGCACAGAAATTGTCTCAGGTTACCCTTATAGTTGTGATACCTGGGCAATGAAATAGCTCACCAGAGGCTATGCAAACTTCACCTGAAAACTGGAGTGAGATGCCCTGATATTCTAGAAGTTAAAACCTGCATTCCCCCACACAGCAGCTGCCTCTGACCCCAAGAAACATCATTCCACACAAACTCAGGTATGGTCCCTCAGTGCCATGTTCAGTTTTGTTGCACTATAAAAGATAGTTTGGGGCATGTCTTCTTTTATACCAATAATAAATTCAAGGCATCTTCTAGAGATGATAGAACAGCAGGGCACCAACCAAGAGATTTAGAAATCCCAACATTTAGGTTTTAGAAAGGGATATCTCCCTAATCTTAGACAGAAAGTCCACAGTCATTCTTGCAGCTAAATTTTAACAACTGCACAGGGCTTACATTTTTGCAGCAGGCAACTTGGTCTTTCTGCCCCTATCCCTACCCGCTTTTCATCTTGTGGTGCCTGGGACAAATCCAGAGCCTTATGTATGCTAAGCAAGTGCTCTAACCTTGAGCTCTTAATGGTTTTAATCTTTCATTCTGATCTGTATTTTTCTGGGCCCAGGGTTTCTGCTTGTCTGTCTGCCAGGATATAGTCTTTTAAGTGGCCTTGAATCTTTTAGAGAATAAGATGGAGAGGGAATAAATCAGTATATTATAGTCAAAAGGCTCAAACCAAGGTTTGGAAAGCATGTAGCCTTCTTTGTCAGGGTTATTTAAAAGTCTGCCATTTATTTTGGAATCTATGGACAGTCAAGGAGAAAGTTTGGGTTTTCTGTTTACAGGGCCATTCTTGTTTGTGAAAAATGGTTAGGGCAATAAAGTGAGATAGGTAGAGGAAGGAATCACTTTAAAGTCCACAGGAGCCCCAGGCCTAAGTGACAGCACCCAGCCACAGCCTGCGCCGACAGCTGTGAACAGCGAGGGCCCCAAAGCAGGCAGCACCAATCCCCATTTCCCCTCTCTGCAACCCTTTCCTTTAGAAGCAGTTTTATCCCCAGCCACCACAAACCCCCAGGGTTTGCCACAAACCACCTTCCCACAGAGAGCACTGGAGTCACTTTTGAGGCCTGGTGGGAATGAATGCACTGGGTGACAGGAGGTTGCATTCCAAGCGGGCCTGTCGCCAGGGTCTGTGGGGAAAGAATGAAGAGGAAATGGTGGTGGGAGGAGGTAAAATCCTTCCATGCCAAAGCTGTCACTTTGAACCCAGTGTGATGGAAGACAGTGCAGCCAATGTAGGGACAGAAAGGGAAGTAGTGAGCTGGTCACACCATACGACTGGGTACACTGCTGGAATTACTGAGCTCAGTCAGGTTTGCTTCCTGTCTGCCTCTCTTCCATGGGCTCCTCTAGCCCACTTTGGCCTTCAAGGATCCTTACGGGCCAGGAAGAATAATTTCCAATCTACACAATCAGCCTGCTTCATTATTTGCTTGCTTTCTCTTTAGTCTCAACTGTAGGGGTAGAACCTAGGCTCATGATTAATGCACAGGTGGTCTACCATGGTGCCCCTATTTTTATATTAAAATTTAAGTTTAAAGTATTAACTCAGGATGGCAAACTCCAGACCAGCCTGGCCTATAGAATGAGTTCCAGGTCCAAGCAGACAACTTACTAAATCCTGTCTTACGTTTTAAAATTATAAAAGAGAGGTGGGAGGCTACAGCTCATTGATACAGCTCACTCGGTATGTGCAAAGCCCTAGGTTCAATTCTGTTCATCACGCAACAAGAAAAAGGAGTGTGTGTGTGTGTGTGTGTGTGTGTGTGTGTGTGTGTGTGTGTGTGTGTGTGTGTGTGTGTGTGTGTGTGTGTGTGTGTGTGTGTAGGCAAGTATTGACACTGAGTAAACCCGCTTAGAAGATGAATGAGGCTTTTGGCAAGAACTTGTAAGTGAAACTAAGTTTGAGATGAATATTTTAAAAAACCTGGTGGTTAAAGGTTATTCTTGTGGAAAAGAAAGAGATATAGGTTCTATGAACAAGGCACAGTTCACAATGTAAACCGAGGTAAATAAGTCTCCTTCAGTTTGTTAGCGATTTCTTGATGCACCAATAAAACACTCAAGACCATCCTGGTGGCTTTCTGTCAGTTGTTCCCAATCTTGAGTCTTCTCCCATTTAGGAGGCATAAGAATTTAGATGCTGCATAAAAGTGAGTCCGAAGCCGGGCGGTGGTGGCACACGCCTTTAATCCCAGCACTCGGGAGGCAGAGGCAGGTGGATCTCTGTGAGTTCGAGACCAGCCTGGTCCAGTTCCAGGATAGCCTCCAAAGCCACAGAGAAAACCTGTCTTGAAAAACAAACAAACAAACAAAAAAGTGAGTCCAAGAAGCAACAATGTACAAACCTTGATTAGAATATGGTCTGCTCTCAGCCTTAGATCCATTCAACTATAGATAGAAAATAATTGGAGAAAGGAAAAAAAAAAAAAAAAACCTGTAGGGAAAAAATGGGGAACTTGTCATCATTCCCTAAACAATGGAACACAATTATTCACAAAAGCATGTATGTTGCTGGTTAGTCACCTAGACATGATTTTAAACATGTGAGAAGCTGTTGGGTTCTATATAAATTTTGTGCTACTTTATGTAAGGGATTTTGGTTTCTGTGGATCTTGGCATCTGTGGAAAGGTCAGTGGGGAACTCCCCCCCCCCATACTGGGGACCGAATCCCCTGCCTGGCCCAAATTCTCACTTTAATGCTGAAATCAGGCTGGCTGTGGACTGATGACAACAGCATAGGAGTGGCTGCCGGTCCTATGAAACAAAGAGGGCCTTGTCTTTCAATATTGCAAATAATGTTAAAATGCTCACAGGGACTTAGAAAAAAAACCAACCAGCCCTGGTGAGCAGTGGAATCTGTCAAATGCTTTCTTTCTGTCTCACACACATACACACATACATTATGAAAAATCATCTGTGGTTTTCCTAAGGGGCACAACTGGCTAATTACAATTTTAAAGTCCTGCTGAATTAACAAGAGTGGTATTTTGTTTGCTTTGCAGGAAAACTGCTGCGGTTGTTTCTGCTTTGAGAAGGCTTCTGGAAATATCAGCAGTTCTGGTGCCTTGACCCCTGTGATGACTGGCAGCCGTAGCACTTGGGCAGCCTTGAACTTGAACTCAGAGAGGCTTTGCTGTGCTCAGTGGGTGACCCAGGGCCGCTCCTTAGGGACTCAGGCAGATGCCTACATCCCACTTAGTGCACAGAGGGGAGATGATGCTGTATTCTTGGCTTCTTGTTTGCTGATGTCCATTTTTAGTTTTGGATGTTAGTGGGGCAGCTGGTATGCGATGCTGTTTCTCAGACTACCAAAGCAGTGCTTGAGATGTAACACTGTGGAGGATGCATTTGGAGAGCGAAAACAGCTTCCAGTAGTTCGTTGCACTATGTTTCTCAAGAGGACAATTGTATCACCAGAAAAATTCTAAAGTTGGACACTTTGATTTGCATTTCTATGTGGTTTGAAATGGGATGAATCCTATGGATAGTCAGCTTGCTGGAACAGAGGCTTCTAAGGCAAGAGACATCACACGTGGCACCTTCTATGTATTCTGAACGCTCTCCCACGCGCAGCAGTTTCTACCCAGTAGCTGACTCCATGCTCAGATTCATAGCACACTTTTCACAGAGTGCTCTTTGCTCTGCTCGAACAGGCAAGTTTATCCCCATTAAACATGGTGGCTTGAGAAGGTGATGTAAAGGTGTCTATTTGTGGTTAGTCCTTAAAATGACAACCTTCAAAAGACAGTCACAAGAGCATCCCTCAAGGCCAGGTGTCACCAGTAGGAGATGGATCTGCTCATCCTGAGGAAGGACAATGCACGTATTCCAATGCTGGTAACTAGAAAGTGGCCCTCCAGCTTCTGAGAAAACTGAAACATTTAGAAGACCAATAATCACAGTTATGCAAATTCATGGCTGAAAATTCTCACAGGAGTCAACCGTTGTAAGGTGATAAGGCAAAACTGATTTCTGGTTATAAACTTTTCTTTTTGTTTTGTTTTTGAGACAGGGTCTCATTATGTAGCCTTGGCTGGGCTGCAATTTGCTATGTAGATCAGGCTGGCTTCAAACTCATAGATATCCATTTGCATCTGCTCCAGAGTTGTGGGATTAAAGGCACATACCACCATGCCTGGCATTGGATGCAAGCTTCTTATTTCCTAGCTCATGGGCTGTCAGATATTCAATAAGGAACATGAGCACTACTGTAGGTGACATTTAGGGGACAGAAAGCATTGGGGCTACAGAAAGCAAAAGGAGCAACATATTTGTGAGAAGATAAAACTTTGCACAGCTCCCTGAAATTTCACTGTGCATTCAGCCTCTCATTTCCAAATAGCTGTTGTGTTTAGCTCAGCAAAATAATGCCCCATTTTTAGCCATAAATTGATGTCACAATCTCAATGGGTAAGAATAACCTAGAGGCCCTGTCATTGAGGGCCAACTGAAGGCACATGGCTAATTGTCAAACCCCCACAGCCATAAGCATGCCCACCAATAACTAATGCCTCC